AATTTGTACGCTGATAACTTCATATCATATTTCAAAGTTTAATATATGCTTGAAATCCTGATACTGCCAGCATCAATTTCTGAAAACATCTATCTGACACTTTTTTCAGGAGTTTGCTAAACTATCTAAGAGTTTCCATTTCAACAATGAAATCTTCGGTTCTTGAAGTCCATAGACTTTCTGGAGGACCGTGTCATTTATCGCATATTGCCCGTCCCTGTCCTTTAACCTTGTTACTAGCCTTCTGATAAGCATCCTAGAAAGCTTTCATTTTTGTGGAATATTTCCGTCATCAATTTCTGAATGAATATTGGCGACATGTATTGAAAATACAGCATTACAATTCAGCAATATGTTGATAAGTAAAGTCCATTTCGAAAAATATTCAAATTATGACATCGAATTTTATGTCACAATTAATCCTTGCAATACCATGATTTCCTTGACTTTTTCATACGGAATAAAAATGCAGGATTTGATGTTTAAAATGATATATAGTTTGTAATAGAAATATGATAATTAAGAAAAATAATTAGATTTAAAAATGTAACATGTATTATAAAACACCCTGTATTTGATCATGACCCCTGGGGTAAGGGTGTGCCACAATGGGTGATCAAAGTATTAAATAGTAATATATAAGAAGAAAATTCTCAAAAAAATCTTCTTGTCAAGAACAGCAAAGTAATGAATGGATATATTTATATGTGGTCGTGTTGAACCAAGTTTGTTCAAATTCCAAAGGAGTTCGGGAAGAAACCTACAAATTCATGTCCATCGTGAAAGAACTGGGTACGTTAAGCCCACTTATCGGCCCTGTCTTTAAATTTGATTAAGATTTTTTACAGACATGCCTACGATGTGTCCCATTAAAATCATTTTATTTTCTGAAATTATCGCGAACCATTTTTCCGTCAGAGGACCCTAAAAATGTAGAGTTTTCTTTGAAAATTACAACTTTTGACGTGATAACGTCATCAAGACGTTACTGATTTTAACGTTACGTAACATGAAATATGTAGATTTTCTGAACCGATAAAATATTTACTTGAAACTGCCTTATGTTCAGAAAAAAATAGAATTTTTATTTCAATTCATCGTATCTTTGATAGCTGGAACAAATGTAATAATTTGTAGAAATAGATTTCCGACATGACGATTTCATTAGAAAAGTAATTAAAAATTGTTCATTCTTACAGACGAAACAAGGTTCATGTTCGTACTTCTTTTGAACTGTGCGTGTATCAAATTTATGATTTTTTAATGCAAGAATTTCCAAATGATTTTTTCTCATCCATTATTCGCATTGCCTATAAAGTAACATTAAAGTATATAATATACATAAATCAATTTTAAAAAAGTTAACTTTGAAAAGAATTTTTTTTTAAAAAAAAAAAAAAAAGAATCGTCCCATATAAAGTTTTTTGGCAATGAAAAAGCCATCAATACCACTTCCCCTTTTCAAGACTAACAAATGGCGGCGCTATTAATTTCGTATTTTTTAATACCAGATAAACGCATAAATTACACACTATTTGGGGGGTATGAGGTGTGTGTTAAACTGCATTAATTTGTCTTTGATGTTAGAATTTCTTTTATAGATCATCGTTATTTTTTCATTCCAGCGGATCCCCATTGCTAAATGGTTTATGTCAAATGCACTTACTAGGAATAACCCCACAATATACTGATCACAACCACTTTCTATGTAAAAACCACAAGGGGAGACCGGTTATTACATCTTACTTTTTTCGTACAAATTGCAGTCCTGATTGATTACAATGTATTATAACTTGCGTCTCAGATCTTGAAAAATAATGTGTTTGCTATTTTGCTTCACGGTGTAAGAAATATTAGATACTTTTTTAAGGAACCTTAATTTGATATTTAAATGCGGTTTATAATTTCCACCATACTAATATAGAAGAAATCTTAAAATAAAAATAGATAAATGAATTAAGATTTCAAAATTAAAAAAAAAAGGCTTTCATAAAAAAAAGGTGTGCGATTTGATTTAGATTTATTTCTCGATGTACAAAATATTTTGTATCTAGCCAGTACTAATAATTTAATTTTAGTGACAAACGCGCTACTTTACATGTACATACTCATTATTTGATTAACAAACTCGAGAAATTGTGCACAAAATATACATGCTGACAGATATGCTGCTTAGAAATATATATTGAAACCAAATTCTTCGTAAAAACTTGTTTAATGGTACTAATCACAGTGTATAACTTGTTTATCAGTAACCCCCCCCCCCCCCCCCGCAACCTTCTATTTAAATGGAGACAAAATACATGTACAGATAATTGAAATGCAGAATAACGGAAGACTCACATAAAAAATGAAGCCTCACTTTCTCATCCCTTTTTATAACTATTTTTTTATAAGCTACAAATTGAGATTTTTTTTCCAGTTCTGTTATCAAATTATACGAAAGGTAATTTTGCTAATTGTGGGTACAATACGCAAAACACGTTCTTCTTTATAGAGTTATACCCCTTGCCAGATTTAACCAAAGAGAGTAATTATGTAACCTAATAAGCTTGATTATTTTGCTTTTCTTAACTTACCTATTTTTTTTTTCCTTGTAAGTTTTTGATTGAAAAAAATTCTTAAGAAATAAACTTAACAAACTGCTGACATGTATTACGTGAGTATACAAACTGCTTTAAAATAGACAATGATTTTGCCTCACGATTCCTCCTGCTGTTTACTGCTGTGTACTTGTAGGCTTATTTTTAAACAACCGGAGGTAAGATAATTGATATATGTCAATGACAATGATACGTTCAATATCAGTCCTTAACACTTCCTTTGGATACATTAACTTTCCGTTGCAATTCCTCCTCAATTTTGCACATTTTCCCTGTAGTAACAATAAATTACTTTTAATTAGTGTTGTCAAATCGGACGATTTTTAGTAACCGGTTACTCGCTCATTTTTCCGATAGAGTAACCGGTTACTCGGATGGCTTTGTCGTCCTTTATACATGTACATGTACATGTATAATAAATGACAAATTCATCCATCAAACCTGTTGTTTGTGTTAACTTTAATATGGATATGATATGGATTATAAAACATTCTAAGTATGGGCAAAAAACTAGCCTTCAGTGAACTTGTGAAATTACACTGGAGAACATAAAACTGCATTATTGTAAATGATAGCATTTATGTACTCATGTAATGATTGTTTTGAGTTTATTTATATGTAACATGTTAATCCGTATTTATCCAGTTTTGTTTTTTGTGTCAATATTAGAGCGATCGATAGGGGGTAATTTTATGAACCAATCAGGAGAGACATGTAGTTTCTACGTCACTTTTTGTTTTGATTCGATAGCAGTAGGAGGGGTTTTCCAAGTGTTGCCCACCAACCACCCCGGTCATTAGGGTCATTAATCCACCTCTGTACTTGTTAGATTGAATACTTTTTATGTTTATATTTTGGCAGTTATTGAGATTTTGTCTGCCACGGCAGTTTTTGTCTGCCAACTTTTTTGCTCATTGTTATTTTTTGGATACTGGATTGTTAATTTGGATATTCTAAATGTATTTTGATACCCCGGGGAGATCAACTAATGTTTTGAACACATTTATTATATCGTCAATTCTCATTATATCGCGGGTTCCATTGTAGCGCGGTATATTCCAAAAAATAGGATATAAATCTCATACCCTTTTCATTTCATGGATATTCTGGGTAAAAATCTTTTTAGAAATGCTCAGTACTCGCTTACTTCTTAACAATATAGTTATGTACATTCAGTTTTTATACATGTAAATATTTATAGAGTAATCTTTCTTTCCTTTTAATTTTAAAGACTTGGGATGTCTTGTAAGTGTCTTAGTAAAATAATTTCTGATAGAATCCTAGTAAAGTTAAATGCATCGATTATGGAGGAAAGGGGGTGGGGGATGTCTTGTCAACAAGTAATGCATGATCGTGTTTGTATTTCCTACAGAACTGGATTCATGTATGTTATATTTACCTCCACTTGTCTAAAACAGAAAATAAGTTGATTGGGAACAGATAATCTTTATTCAGGTTGACTGCATCGTGCTCATTTAAATATCTGTACAAAATGCCGAAAACGTACATGTAACTGTGAAGTTGCTGAACTGCACACGGGTAATCAGGGCATGACTGAAGAGCATATAGTCTGCAGGTAGCTTCCAGGTGAGGATAAATAAACACCATATAGAAAACCAGGTTATACCTGTGTAGGCTACATGCGGTCGCCATTACTGAAAGAAGGTACACATGTAAATGGTTTAATTATTTAAGAAATTCAATATATAATAGATTTTTTTTCTTCATATTTTGTTTTTATTCATTTCAATTTACTGTAATTGGTCTATTTCACAGAAAACTTACTCCGTATTTATCTGTATTCTTCTTCACCTTTCGGTTTGCGAAGTCAAACAGGGTTTTCTGATTTTCCAATCCCCTGAGACGGTATATATCGTCAATCTCTGATTGTTGGTGGCAATCTGCACTAACCCTTACTTCATCGTATTAATTCATAATGTCGTCCATCGATATATACTGTCGCCGGTGACACTTATTGCACATACCCCCCCCCCCCCCCCCCACACACACACACACACAGTTCAATGTAGTTACTAAAGGAGATTTTTTTTTTTTTTGTTAAATCACACAGACTTGTTACGCACACAGGTGCTTGGGGACGTTGCACCTTTTCCGTACCCCAAGGGTTCTTTGACTTTATAAATGATATATCTTTCTATGACACATTTACAAAGTATTATGATAAAAAATCCAAAACAAAATCTAAAACTAAACTTTTAAAAAAAATTCACGCTCACTAATACTAGTGTCTTTGGACAGATTTCTTATCTGCTATGCAGCATAGAGGTCTGTTAACCAAAATAAAAAGAACAAGTTTTTTTTTTTTTCTTCTGAAAAAAGCTTTTAATAATTGCAAGCTAAAGTATTTTCTTTACTATAGGGCAATATTTCCTAACCATGGACCCCCGTACCAGTGCCCAGGACTTGATGCGATGTGACTTGTGTGAGACCACTGTTGTACAGATGCACTGTGATACATGCCTTGTCAACCTGTGTAAGGCCTGTGTGGGAGAACACATGATCTCCGATGAATCCAACGACCATAAAGTTGTCAAATTTCAGGCCAGGAAATCAACTCTCCTCTACCCTAGATGTACAACTCACAGAGATAACAGCTGTGAGTTGCATTGCAAGGAATGCAATACTCCAATTTGCTCCGCTTGTATTGCCTCCAGAAATCACAAAGAACATGACATCCACTTACTAAAAGACATTCTTGCCAGGAAGAAGGCAGCAATCCAGACAGAAATCAATGAATTGGAGGAATCCATCTGTCCAACCTACTTGGACATAGCAACGGATATACAAAATACACTGAGTCAGCTAGATGCGAAACATGAAGAACTGTCAACAGCCATAACAAAACATGGAGAGGCCTGGCACAGAGAAATTGAAAAACTTGTCAAGAAACTTAAAGCTGAAATTGACGGGATGAAAAGCACACATAATGAAACTCTAGAAGCACATTTATCTAATGTACGTTCATGCACCTCTAAGATAAATGATGACATTAATTCTTTACACAAATTAATAGACTCTACAGATATTTTGAAAGTGTTATACTTCCAATTAGAATATAAGAAATACAGGTTACTTCCGTCTAAATTTAACATAACAATGGCACAATTTTCACCACCTTCTATACAGGAAGAGATCTCTGAAGTATTTGGAAAAATAATTCCAACAACGGTATCATCTGATAACCATGGTTACAGCATAAGAACAGCAGAGAGATTGCTAGGAGCTGAAATGTCTCCTTTACAAGAGAAAAAAACAGACACTGGATCCTCTCCTCCTGTCAAACAGCTGCTTGATGAACCACAGACTGTCACCACCATAGACACTGGGTATCAATATTACATGTACCTTAACAACGTGGCCTGCCTGAGTGATGAAGAAATCTGGACAAGTGGAGATGACCACACAATGAACTTCTACAGCATCATTCAGGGATCACTACTCAAGTCAATCACAACAAAGTCTGGAAACTGGCCTTATGACATAGCAGTGACAAAAAGTGGAGATCTAGTTTATACTGATCAGATTAATAGAACTGTGAACATAGTGAAGAATGAAGGAGTAGAGGAGGTGATCAGACTACAGAACTGGAAACCTAGCGGTGTCTGTTGTACCTTCTTTGGGGACCTGTTGGTTACTATGTATGGTGATAACAAGCAATCAAAGGTTATCCGTTATTCTGGATCCACAGAAAAACAAACAATTCAGTTAACAAATAATAGTTACATACAGAATTAACATATGAAGAATATATTCATTTAAATGTATCTTAACTGTTACATAGTTCAAAAGTGAGAAAACAATTGACACTGTTTTTCTATTAACTTCATTTTCAGATTCATGATTACAAATTAAACCACAATTTTTCACTTTGCTAAGTGTATGTATTTTTGATATATATATATATATATATATATATATATATATATATATATATATATATATATATATGACATATGGCTTTAGGAGACCAAGGAGGATATATTTTCTGGCTTAGGGAGACCACTGGATTAAGGCGACCTTTTTCGGTCTCCCTATTATTTTGACCTCATCAGTATTGCAAATGTCTTTTTATAGATAAATAAACAGTCTGCCATTAAATATTATTAATCTTTAACTCTGTTATTTAACATTCAAAAGTTGTCTAATTTCTATCATCTTCCCTAAAAAAGAAAAGAATTTATAACCTACGTATAATTTCAAAGGATAATTTTTCTGCATTTTGGAGACCATGAAAAACATGCAATTAAACAAAAAATCTAGCATATATATTTTTTCCGCTTTTGATTTGTTCAAATGAGTGTTTCTTTAACTTAGTTTTCCATGTTTTATGTTAAAAACCTAAAAAGGAAAAATATTGTAAATTTATGAACCATGTTTTGAATTCTTAGCAAGTGCTTTCCGTCATTTGTTCCGAATGCCATCGGAATGCCCCTTCAGTTTTCAGAAAATGACCTCTGAACACCATGGATGTTGAGAAATTTGGGTAAGTAACTAAAATGATACAGTAATAAGTTGTAATTAAGAATACACAAGACAAACATTCGTTTGGGTTTTTTGTTGTTTTTTTTTTTTTTTTTTGGCCTAGTAATTTAGCTTTCAAGAGAAAAAGTATGATTTTAAATAATCGTTAGACTATAGTTTGGTATATAAAATCCTGAAGGAAATTCGAAATAAAGTTAAATGATAGGCCCCTATATTTTTTTAATTCTTTTATGCAAGTCCACAAACAAATTAAATATTTAAAGATTAGGCCGAACGTTGAAAAAATAGTCTCGCAAGTTGACGCAGCTATTTCGAGCTTAAAAATTTAAATTAAACTTTCTGTAAACATCATGCAGGACATGTTCATCATGATATAGTATAAATGAAACAGACCCTGTAAGAAAAAAATAGTTGTAATTTAATAATTGTTTATTAATATAATCTGGTCCTCTGCTAATAGAATATATATGCTGTAAAAAAAAATCTGAATCAGGGTGAAGCAGATTTGATACAATACATGGCTGAAGGAAGGGGGGGGGGGCAGGCCCCCTGTAATTTTGCTGAAATTTAGGTATACTATAGAAAACATTGCTCCTTTATGCTTGGGCCCCCTCAATAATAACCTCTGATGATCTATTTTTCTTTTGCTTTTGGGCCCCCTCAATAATAACCTCTGATAATGTATTTTTCTTTTGCTTATTAAAATTTTTTTTGGTTTGTAGCCTCCCCCAACCTGAAACTGAAAAATGTTGTTTGGTTGTGCTCACCCCCCCCCCCCTCCCCTCCAACTAAATTACGTACGGGCCTATTCTCCATCCCTGAGGTTTTCTTTCACCAAAGAAAGATGAATTGGTAACAGTTCAGATATATATAGCAATATTTACGGAAGGGAATATTCTCGTTTAATTATGAAGATGTGACAGTAACTCAGTCAAAGCCACAGTGAGTGTAGCATTTATTTAATATTATTGTTAATGTTTACAAATAGTGAAATACTGATACTGTGAAATTTTAATGGATATATAGAAAATATAAAAGTACAAACATTTATTGTAAATCACATACATGAAAAGCTTCTTTTTTTAAGCAATTGGAAATTCTTCATTTTTTCATGAAATTATTTTATTTCGTATGTATGATAATTTATTTCGTATTTTAATTCTGTCAACAAATCATTGTCGCAGCCTAGTTCCCTTCATTATTTTCAGCAGTTCAGTGACAGAGATAAAATAATCATTTGAGGTTTATATCCCCCCCCCCTCCCCATCAAATGAAACTGAAAAATGTTTGGTTTTGGTCCCCTTCAACTGAAATTGATTCCTACTTACCATGCTTACAGGCTTAACTATGAGGATGTGACAGGGAGTGTAATAACAATAATTTTTCAGACGGATACATATTAAGCTGATATACGTATAAAATTTTAATGGATAGATAGAAATTAATAAACAATTACAACCATTTATTATAAACTACATAAAGATAATTTTTCAAGCAATTTGAAATTCTTCATTTTTTATGATAATATTTTATTTCGTATATATGTTTATAGGTTTATTCGTATCAACAAATCTGTGTACGAGTTAATAACGCAGCCTGGTTCCCTGCATTTTCAGTGAACCACAGAGAACCAGAATAAGATTGTAGGGAAACAAGCCTTGTTACAAGGTTTGAGGTTTGTTTATTTTATATTTTAATTTACACTTTTAAAAATTATTATTATTATGCAAAAATCTGTGTGCAGATGAATATTTACATTTTAATGTTATAAGTCGTTTTGTGGTTCATATTTGCGGTGACTGTCCCACGTGTGTTTACCTGTTTACATTCACCTACTGACCTAGAGTCTTCAAAATATACCTTCTGTAATCATGACTGTTGTAATCTTGTTTTTATGTTAGTTTACCATATGTAACTTGACTGTTGTATAGATTTATAGCGATCACTGCAAGCTTTTAATATTTAGGTGAAGAGAAATTTCAGACTATCAATCACAGGCACTTGTTTCATATACGGTGCACCCCTACTTATTTTTACCACAAGGTATCTAACTCAATTTCAGGCACCCCCGCTTCAAGCTCGTATTTTGTTCATGTATCATTATCAATCATTAACCTACTTTAAAATGACATCGTTCGCTTCAAGAGACTTTTTTCTTGTCAAATAAATCGTTTCAGACATCTCTGGTCGAGTCTCTTTATTGTAAAGCACTCATTTATTCCACGAAAATTACCTCGATACATTTTAAGACTTTAGATTGGATACAACTTCCAGTTGGGGGTAGAATAAAACCAGAGACTTCAGAGTATTCCATTCCGAGGTCTCTGGTTTTATCCTTCATTTATAACCCCAACCGCATTTTTGTATCGAAAATTACCTTGATACATTTTAAGACTTTAGATGGGATACAAATTTCATTTTTTTCACAGGTCACGAGGTTTCAACTTAAAAAATAAAAATTCTCACTGTTAAGATATGTTGGAAATTTTAGCTTGATGTGTTGATAATTTTCCAAATTATTATGTAATAAAGGGGACTTTATATGATCACCCGGCACTGTCGCTTTAGTTCAGTCTTCACAACAATTCTTTTTCAGCACATGCCCTTCGGGCATGTAGACCTATCATTTTTACCCAGCCCATTCAAATTTGTACATGTCCTACTCAAAATTCTTACATTTACCAGTATTGTGCAACAAAAAAAACCCATTAGGTATAAAGGTTTTATATTAATTTTTTCAGCGTCGTAAACCAACCATGGCCTGTGATTGCCATTTTCTAAATTGTTTTTGTTCATAAATAACTTTTGAGTTGCATGCTGGTCATTTGTTGGCCGGTTTAGCTGAACTGAATTTCAGAAATGGGATCATGACTGTAGTGCCACAGTATGTGGCATGGATGAACATCTCGTAATTTAGCAAGCAACTTCGAGAAAACAAATAGGTTAAACTAAACACTTCAATGATTAGATTGACAATCATTTGACAGGTCGTATCGAGAATGTAGACAGGCAATCCATCGACATTACATATAGCAACGTTTAAGCGAATAATGGGGGTAGGACAGAGTAAATGGCAAGTAAAGATCGTACAATGAAAGAAGATTCACATATGCCCTCTTCGGACATGTAATTTGGCAATTTTTACAAGCCCGGCTGCAAATTTAACAGGTCCCTGGCATTGGACTCCCGGGTTATTTGGAAGACTGTTAGTTTAGTTTCATGAGGTCCGACAACATTGATTCTCAATGTCTGCTCCCTCTACCCCATACACTTATCTTGATAAAATTACATAAATTATATTATTAATTATATAAATTGATATAAATTATATAAACCGGTCTTGTTTATATAATTTTACAATGTCATAAACAGCTGCTTAAGTGCATATAATATTGTACTAAATGGATTTATATATAGGATTAGGGAAAGATCCTCACTTGATTATGGCAGCATATTTAGCCCGTAGGAGTTTATTATCTACCACACATGATCAATGTCACTTTTGGATGTGAATGACTTTTGACACCCTAACTTCAGTTCAAATCAACGTTAACTTTATGTGACGTCTCTCTGAATCTTTTTTGGCATGTAACTTGGGTAAAAACAATTAAGTACTCTTGATGCATTTGATTTCTCTTAGCCCGTTTAAACATATCCAAGGTCTATACCAGTTTTTGCAGGGGCGAAACTATGTAGAAGTTGGAGAAACCCATCCCCTTTTTGACGTATTTGGTTTTCGAGGGGTGAAAATTTTCAATATTACACTCAACTACATGCAATATTTATTATATTATACTGAATGTTTTATACAAATACAAATAATAGTGAACCTTGAGCGCATAAATCTGCGCAGTCACTATTTTTTGGAATATCACCCGTCGTCAAGCAATGTTGACTGTTGTGACACTGGGCGTGGCTTCATTATTCAGCGGATAATTGTGCTTTTTAACAAATGTTTCTTGACGAATCAGATTAATTCATCTAATATACCTGAAAGTACAATATTAATTAATTGTCATCATTTTCCTATATTAGCATTTTTACTGGTAATGGTTTTGAAATGATAGGAACATGCACTGTTCAAAAAGTCTTAAAATTTTGTTTTGGCTCAATTTCTTTGTTAAATTACTGTGTTGAACTAAGGCAGGTCAATTAAAGTAACATGATCCTATAGATTCCATGTACATTTAGTACTGTAAAGTAGACAAATTTATTGTTCTCACAAGTAGTTCTCAAACATTGATTTAAGTTGGTCTCCTGAAGGATGTAATAATGCAATTGGTCTGCTTAAGGTATAGTGTATAATATAGACATGCATATTTTATTTTGAATTTGTATTATGTCAATCATTAGAAATATATGGATCTTAATTAAAAAACATTGTTTTCATTAGAATTTAAGATATGTATAATAGGCATATATTCTTCATGCTTTTCCATAGTTAAGTCCTTTTTTACAGGGTCTCTGCTAGTATCATGTGGACCCCAGTGTAACAAATCTATGGAAAGAGAGAAAATCTCAGCTCAAGGGTCAACATGTCTTTATTCCAAGAAAGGTAAATTGATAATTTTTTCTGCTAAAATACTCTTTTATAAAATTATAATATCAATGCAAAAAAGTGAACAAACAATGTACCTAACAACATTTTGAAAATGAAAGTGCAATAACAGTTAATAATTATGATCAATCGAATGAATTTTAATAATCCAATCAAAGTCCTTGTTGTATATCATTTTTGCTAGGGCTGTGTATTGACCAAAAAAAAAAAAAGAAAAAGAAAGACATTTTTTAATGCGATATGCAATATATTGAATTCTTTAACAATTCTATCAAAAAAGTCTTATAAATCATTATGCATGAATTTTATAAAAATAATAATTGTTTTTTTCTCATTTTTAATTTTTTGTCTCACCGTCTTTAAAAATTACACTTCAAATTCAAACTTTTCTTGACTGTAAAATCAACATGTTAAGTAAAGTTGTCTATGTATTTTTATGATTTTGTAATAATCATTTAAGATGTGCTACCTCCTTAATGATTATATCATTTTTGATCAGTTTTAATTCAAAACAATTACCGGTAAATATAATCTTTGGTGATTGAAATTCCCAAGTTTTTCACAGAATTACATAAAAAAAACTGCCTGCCCAAAATGTATTGGAATTAAGTTATTTTTAGCTCACCTGAGCCAAAGGCTCAAGTGAGCTTTTCTGATCAAAATTTGTCCGTTGTCTGTCGTCGTTGTCGTAAACTTTTCACATTTTCATCTTCTTCTCAAGAACCACTGGGCCAATTTCAACCAAACTTGTCAAAAAGCATCCTTGGGTAAAGGGGATTCAAGTTTGTTCAAATGAAGGGCCACACCCTCTTTCAAGGGGAGATAATTAAGAATTAGTGAAAATTTAGTGGTATCTTTTAAAAATCTTCTTCTCAAGAACCACTGGGCTGTAAAAGTTGAAACTTAGGTGAGACCTTCATTACATAGTGTAGATTCAAGTTTGTTCAAATCATGACCCCCTGGGGTAGGGTGGAGCCACAATGGGGGATCAAAGTTTTACATAGGAATATATAGGAATAAATCTTTAAAAATCTTCTTCTCAAGAACAACAAAGCCACGATTAGTCATATTGATATGGAATCATCCTCAGGTAGTGTAGATTCAAGTTTGTTCAAATCATGACCCCTCGGGGTAGGGTGGGGCCACAAGGGGCGATCAAAGTTTTACATAGGAATATACAGAAAAAAAAATTGAAAAATCTTCTTCTCAAGAACAGCAAAGCCTTGTTAAGTCATATTGATATGGAAGCATTCTCAGATAGTGTAGATTTAACTTTGTTCAAATCATGACCCCCAGGGTTAGGGTGGTGCCACAATTGAGGATCAAAAACTTCAAAAATCTTCTTCTCAAGAACAGCAAAGTCATGTTTTGTCATACTGATATGGAAGCTTCCTCAGGTAGTGTAGATTCAAGTTTTTTCAAATCATGACCCCTGGGGGGTAGGGTGGGGCAACAATGAGGGATCATAGTTTTACATAAGAATATATAGGGAAAAAAAACTTGAAAAATCTTCTTCTCAGGAACAGCAAAGCCATGTTTTGTCATATTGATATGGAAGCTTCCTCAGGTAGTGTAGATTCAAGTTTGTTCAAATCATGACCCCTGGGGGGTAGGGTGGGACCACAATGGGGGATCATAGTTTTCCATAGGAATACATAGGAAAAAACTTCAAAAATCTTCTTCTCAAGAACAGCAAAGTCATGTTTTGTCATACTGATATGGAAGCATCTTCAGGTAGTGTAGATTCAAGTTTGTTCAAATCATAAACCCCAGGGGTAGGGTGGGGCCACAATGTGGGATCAAATTTTTACATAGGAATATATAGGAAAAAATCTTTTCATCAACAGAAAAGCCATGTTTAGTCATATTGATATGGAAGCATCCTCAGGTAGTGTAGATTCAAGTTTGTTCAAATGATGGAGGGGGGGGGGGGGGGTGGGTGGGTTAGGGAGGGTCCACAATGGGGGATCAAATTTTTAACAAGGGAATATATAGGAAAAAAATCTTTAAAAATCTTCTGCTCAAGAACAGTAAAGCCATTTGTAATATTGATATGGAAGCATCCTCAGGTAGTTCAAAATCCAAGCCCCCTCCCCTTTAAACTTTACAATACTGAAGTGATTTGTGCTTTTTCCTAGCCAATGTGCTCAGGTGAGCATTGTGGCCCATGGGCCTCTTGTTTTTGATACGATATATTCATTAATCTAGATACGTATCGATATACAGGTAAACTTCGGTATCTCGAACACCGGTATGTCGAATACCACGGATATCTCGAAGTGAATCAACGGTCCCAGCCGTTTTTATTATATTTATGATTTTAAAAAACCCCGGTATCTCGAACATGGAAATCTCGAATACCTCGCTTATCTTGAAGTAGATTTACGGTCCCAAGTGCTATAAACACATGCGTTATCTCGAAGTCCAACAAATTCTCGCTCCACTGAATTCACACCTTAGTACACAATAATCCCATTATGCTAATTTTACGGTCTGTTGAACGTTTCCGTTAGGTCTAGCACAGGCTTCATGGGACCATTGCTGATAATCACACCTTATTAGTCCCAAGCTGTTGTTTTTGGTAGTTAAATTTAATTACGCAGGCCAGGTGATTTGGAGGTGTTAATAAAATGCACTCTCAGAGATACTATGACACGATAATGAAACAGCAGCTTGGGGACGATTACTGTACTAGAAATTTAAATTATCGAAAATACACGCTTATACACATCATTACATATCAAAGTAAACACTGAACACATCAAAGTGATATTGACCTCAAGAAATTAAACAATTAAAGACATTATTTTGAGTATAAAAGTCAGTACCAAAAATCAAATCTTCAGTAAATATCATGTCCGATAAGGCAGTCTAACGAAGGACCCGGTAGCCAACCAGGGGGGATAGTTAGATTATCTGACCGTAGTGGAAAAAGAAAACTTAAAGTTCATACAATCGAAACAAAGTTTGCTTTTGTTTATTCATATTGGCAATTTCAATAAATTATTGTAGAACGATAATTCCTGTTGTTACATTTAGGCATGTGGGTATATGTACATATCCTGTTAAAGTCTTTTTGTATCACAAAAAATATATCATGATATACTTCAGACAAATTAGTACACCCGCAGTTTTGAATACAATTCATACATTGATTTCTTTTGCCACAATGGTGTCTTTAATATTGCAATAATGCATTTGGTCTTCCTAATGCATGTATAATGCAGGTACTGTATATATTCTATGTCCAGCTTATAGGTGAGTCATAAAAAGATTAGTATTTTGAAACCAGGTTAAAACATCAGAGCATTGATTTGAAATTGTCAATTGATTCTGGCAAAAAGTTGTACCAATTTATAAGCGGGTCAATAGCAAATCCCTCCAAAATAACCTCAAAAAATACAACTGACTTATAGGTGGACCACCTTATAGGCAAGTATATATACGGTATAGTTTTTGTTGAATTTTGCTAACAGCAAAACACTATGAATAATGAATTTTGGAAAAAAAAGATTATTAAGTTTAATGATGCATGTATGTAGTATAGAAATATTGTTCATATGCCTGTACATGGTACAAATATGCATTTTACAGAGTGTACATTGTACATATGCCAGAATCATATGGACCACAGACTGGCCCTGGTGATTCCGTTAAAAAAAAAGAGGAAAAATCAGTGCTTGTGCTCATTGGTCATTGGACAAAGGTAACTAGATTTATTTCATGAAACTAAACATGTAAATTACTAGGATATTAAAATATCACAATTAAAATACATGTACTGATTTATATATATATATGGATATCAGTTGGTCTCCTTGATGGAGTTAAATGCATTTGTTATCCCTTTTAAGTGGATCATTTAAATATTATGCAGTTTATTTAGAAGCTCTTTATTATCTGCACTCTTCACTTTTACAGGATGAATGCCAGAATTTTTTCAAGAACAGTCTGAATCTGACATGGAAAAATGAAGAAAAACAGCCTTCCTGTTTATAAATCTACATTCTGACAAAGGGTAATTTTGTTTAGTTCAATTAGAAGTGCACATTTAATTTCAGTTGCTTTCCTTAATGATATATTATAGCATTTTTATTCCCTTATGAACAATATGTATACTTGTAAAGCATGTATCACAAAATCTTCTGCAAACAAAGTTTTGGGTGTAGAGTGTTTGTTGTTTAACATCCCTCTTGAGAATTTTTCACTCATATGGAGACGCCACCACTTGTCAGTGGAGAGCTGCAAATTTTTGTCCTATACTCAGCACTTACGGCCATTGAGCATTAAGGGATCTTTATCGAGCCAGCACCTACTGTGACATGGGACCTCGGTTAATACCTCTGTCTCATCTGAAGAACGGGTCTCCACGTCCCACAGTGGGATTCAAACTCGCGATGTAAGGATCAGCTTCTTTCTCCGCAACTCTAGAGTAGACGCTCTAACCACTGCATCTGCTCTACTTTGGCAACTTTGGGAGTATATAAGCATAGGAATCATCATGTCCATCTGTCTGTTCATGTGTTTGGCCACTTTTATGATTAGTTTTTTTGTTCCAATTCTGGCTGAGATAAATTGATTTAGGTCATCTAAATACAAACAAATTAAGGGAAATTACTATGGTATTGGAATGAACTTTTTGGAATACTGTCTAATTGTTCCATTGTAGTTGGTTTCTTTAATGTTGAAGTAATGCATCTGGTCTTCCTAATGCATGGCATACACTGTATGCATGTGTAATGTTAAAGTTGGCTGAATGTAAAACAGTTCTTGCGTTATGACAAAGGTAAATAGATTTAGTTCATGTAACTAAACATGTAAATTATTAGGGAATTAAAATCTCAAGTTTTGAATACTGATTTACATGTGGAGAGTAGTTGGTCTCCTTAATGCAGTAATAATACATTTGGTCTCCCTTATGCATACTGTATATTATATAAAGGGGGAGTTTCGATAAGGTCGCTCAGCGGCCCACTTTTTTTCATAAAAATAAATTTCAATTTATTTTTTCAAAACTAGTTAAGAATTCAAGAAAAATATATTAACTTTTGTTATTAACATTTCAGAGGTTAATATGAGATGAATTCACAACGTAGCTGATACATACTTAGATGTACCCTCAGATCCGTTAACATTAGGCTTATGGGAAAATATAAGAGGGTGGCATTTAAAAATCGATGTTTAGAATATGAAGTGCATGAGGGACACTCACCTAATTTTTTTCAGTAATTAGATATACTCTGCACACTAATTTCTTGAAATATGATGAGTGTCGCGTGTGCACTTCATATCCAAAAAAATGAAAATTGCATAAAATTTGCATATCTAAAATTAGAAGCTCCTGGTTTCTTGATCTGACTCTGTTAAAATACTAGGCCAAAAGTAGCATTTTTTTTAAAATCAAAGAAGATTCTCGATTATATTAACAGTAGAAAACATTATCGTATCCTATCTTCATTTCGACAGTTTTTTTTGTCGCCAACGTATAACGTTAACGTCACATTTTTAGCTCACCTCCTTGAAGTTGGGGGAGCTTTCGTAATACCGTCGGCATCGGTGTTTCAGGTAAAAGTATTTGAAGCAGATTTTTTTTTTTCAAGTATATCTATGCCCTATATTAATCAGAGTCACATGATCCAGCGTGTTTCCTTGTCACCAGTCAGGTTTCAGATGCTGGATTTTTAGTCAAAGAATGTCCAAGTAAATGTTTTAAAAGCAGGTTTAAGTTTTTGGAGCAGAGCAGCTGAAAGCACTTGTTGACCAGACTTGCTTTATGATGCACACTACTATATTGCTTCAGATGCTGGATATGACCTACATTTCATTAATAAGTGAGCAGGTTAAAGATTTTGAAGCTGGTCTCATTTTTATATAACTATAAGCCCCATTGTGACCAAACTTGCATTGATGATGCATCTAGGATTGCACATTACCAGACATGGTTCAGATGCTGCATCTTTCTTACATTTTCCTACTGACTGAACAAAAAATAAGTTTTCGAGCAAGTCCATTCCTTAACGTTATTCATCATGCATAGTTATATTTTTGACTTTCTTGTAAATAGAAATCCACGCTCCGACATGCTAGAGAGGCGCCCATGTATTTATGTGTGGTTGATATAGGAAACATGGCTTGTTTTAAGTCTGGATGTCTAGGGGCATATGTCTGCTTGATTACGGATTAAACACATATCTTTGGCGTTTTCACATGTATTTCGAACTGCGCTCTGTTCTAGCAAATCATATATAATGAATTCTAGAACTCTCTAAATGAGAAGTGACTAGAAATGGTGTAAAAACTTAAGTATCTCTGGAGATTTGAGAAGCGAGAGGAAATAAGTCCTGGCTGGGATTCTCTCAGTTACGCTGAAAACATAATGCAGATCTATGTGGGCAAATACTTATAAGTTTCATAATGAGAAGGAAAATTTAATGCATTATAGATTTTTCCATCATATTACGTATCATGATAAAATACTTTTGACTGTAATCAATATCATTCATATTATCAAATACATTGCAATATACAGAAGCCAGTAGGTGCAAGGTAAAAAAATATGTTATCTGTCAGCCGCCAGATAAGTTTCTGCCATTGAAATATCTGGCGGCCGCCAGATAAAATTGTAGTGTTTTTGCCAATCAAATTGTAGCACCCAATGATATACCTCAATGCACTTGATTGACAGAGGTACACAGACCAGGTATTTTCGAAGGCGGTGCTTAAAATCTCTGCCTTTAAGGAGGCTGGGGGGTCAACAAATTAACCATCAGATATAACTTAATTTTTTAGATATGATATCTTAAGCTGTCAACTATTATTTGGCAAAGAAAAATTTCATACATTTTTGTTTTAAAATTTGATCATTTTTGTATATCTTTATATGGAGCTCTTCTTCTGAAGGAGATCAATATAGTCTGAAAATGGCCACAACCCCCCAGCCATCTTAACGACATCTACAACTTCTCTTTGAAGTCAAGTCTTGGAGTTTCATGCCTTATTAACAAAGATAAAATCTACACTTCATACAAAAATTCACTTCATAAGGTTTTCACCTCATAACTTTAGATTTATGTTTTATTAGATTACATGTCTACACCGCAAGGAACTTATTTGTCGGATTCTAGTTATTTATGTTGCGGCCAACAGATAAGTTTCTGGTCGCCGCCAGTCATTTATGTGGTGGCCGCAGGAAAACTATTTGGCCGCCGCCAATTTTTCTAGCGGCCGCCGAATAATTATGTGGCGAATGCCAGATAAAATATTTTTCTTACCTTGCACCTACAATGTACTGGCTTACCTAGCAATATGATGCTTTTAAGTAAACTTTTTATTCATGTATGTATTTAAAATATTTTTTAATCTTTTTATTTCAAAACATGTTATTTAATTTCAATTTTATGATACTAAGGTATATTTTTATAAAACATGTAGTTGTATAACCTTATTGATGAAAATGTAGTGCATATACCTGTATATGACGTTTTTACATTCACCTATCTCATGTCTACATATCTTTTCATTTGCATTTTTCGTATGGGAAAATGTTAAATATTGATTATATAGTTTATGTATAAATTGTCGATTAATTATGATGTTAAATCTTTCTATATATTTTACGTTTCATAAGTTAAATCCATCCTCTTTTAAAGAAAAGTAACATTTGACACACCAGAAAAATATCGCACCTTAAAAAAACATTCGCATAAGATAAACACCATTTTCCGTAAAAAAATTGTTGAGATTGGTTAATTTATGTCTTTATTCATATTTATCCTATTTCATTTACGATTTTGACGGTTAAAAAATCCACTTTCCCCCTATGAAAATGTCTACTCCCAAAATATACGAAATGGGGGTATACTTAAATTTTCAATTATCACGTGACCGGAAAATGCGTAACATAAATTATTTTCATATTTTTAGGAAGTTTAGAAGTTTTTCTACAAAATATCAAAATTTCATAAAATTTCGTGAGGGGCCGAAAAACGGCCTTATCGAAACTCCCCCTTGAATGACTGACATGTACGAGGGTTGATCCAAAAGTTCATGGAATTTCTTCATATTTTATTTATTTATTAGTGAAAGTGGTTGAATACTGATTTACATGTGGATAGTAGTTGGTCTCCTTAATGCAGTAATAATACATTTGGTCTCCCTTATGCATACTGTATATTATATAAATTTAATGACTGACATGTACGAGGGTTGATCCAAAAGTTCGTGGAATTTCTTCTAGTGTTGTACCGATAATCAGAAAAAACATCGATTGTCGACAAAAAAAATGCTACTGATTCCGATGATCGATTATAGTTTTTCATAATCGATCATCGGAAACATACTTCTAATACAATACATTCCGGAATTATCCATTTCTGGTTTAAAATTTATTTCTTCTTAATGAAAGAAAATGGCATCTGCATCTGATACTAGCCAACTAGCACGAAGCAGAGGTGATTAAGAACCGAAGATTCATATATAGGGCCTAAAAAAAATTATTTTTGTTTCCTGTAATAACCCGACCGACCCATTCAATTTACCCCCGGGTGAATTTTTTTTCTGCCAAATCTGTGTTTGCTCTTTGGTTTGATCAATCAGCTGATTCTTTTTATTCAAAAAATATTAATTGTATCTTTTATTTGAGATATAAAATATGCAACTTAGTCAACATTTACCTTAAATATAGAGTGATCAATTCCCCCCACAGCTTTTTGAAGTTCGTTTTCTGCCGCTAGGCAGCCATGTTGGGTGTCCACTGTAAATATTTTTAGGTCTAGAAAGTGTAAAAGAAGCAAAACAACAAAGAAAATAATATATTATGTATTTTATATATTCATGTTAAAGAAATAAATGAAATTATTGTAATAGTCTGCTTTTTGTATACAAAACTATGAAGAAATCCGATTATAATCGGTGAAATCGCATCAGAAGCAGTAACCAATTCCAACCGATGATCGATTATGAAAATTAACCGATGTCTCATCACTAATTTCTTCATATTTTTTTTTATTTATTAGTGAA